TGATATTAATTTTAGACAAGATTTTCATTCGATTGATATGACATTTTCCTATACCAAAAATTGGTGGTTTTCAAGTTTTTTACATTTTTCTTAATACAGTAATTTTTAATACAAATCATGCTTGCCCCAAACAACCTAAATGCCGTTGCCGTTACATTAAGAGACGCCTTCAACCCAATTCCCATTTAGTTCAATTCATTTTTGGACTCTTCTGGGGACTTCTCTTCCTGTTGCTGCCCTGATTTGAGCCGGTGTTAAGGATCCGAAGGCATTATAGACTCGTTCCGACATATTTTCCTTTGTTGTGATTGGATCTTTGTAGATTACTTGACCCCACAAAAAAAATCCAGAGGCGTCAAATCCGGAAACCTAGGGCGCCCATTATTGCGAAACCACCTATCCAAATATCAAACTTTCTTAAAACTAGGTTATAATTGTGAGCCGGAGCACCATTTTGCTGATACTACACTTTCATTCGTTTAAATTTTCTTCATGGGTCGTCATTGAAAGAACAGAAGTCATCGAAGTTCAACACGTATAGGAAATTTTTCTTTCACTACGTGAGGGTTTTCCGTTGCCCCGTAATGACTATTATACCTGTTGAACATCCCTTTTTTATGAATTTTGTCTCATCGCTCCATATAATATTTGGCAAAAAAAGGTTGCATCTTTTTGTCATTTGAATTTGCTTGGGGGGCTTTAAATGGTGTACAAGTTGAATACAAAGAGATTTGTACTGCTTCAAAATCCTAAACATTGATGAACACCTTAGATCGAAATGTTTTCCAGCATTATTAATGGATGCGATTGGATGAGCTTCAAAAAGTGCCAAAACATTGATTACCATATCTATATTTTCTGTTACGGTATTCTGCCTATTCTGATTCACGTTCTTATGGCACTTTCCATAAGAGTTAAGTTCAAGTAATCTTCGTTACCTAACAGATATTAACTTTCTTCGCGGGTGCAATTCTGAACTTATTCCGAACAAATTCAGAATTTTGGACAATGTGCTTTTAGTTATATTAACCCCGTAAGCCCGGAAACACTGAGATATAAAATGTCAAAGTACCCGCCTTAACTGTACATTTTTTTTCGAAAATACTAATATCTCCAAAACAGTCAAAGACGGCCATAGATATTGTTTAATAAACTGACCTTAATTTTCAAAAAAGGAATCTAAATGTGGAAATGGGGGTTGCCATTTAAAATAAGGAAGTTAGTGATTACTTCCGGTAGCGGTACTGCTATTATTTAAAAAAAATAGTTCATGGTCGAGAACCTTTGTGTGTACATTTTTACAATCGTATCATTTCCACTTTCTTATATCAGGCTAATTATTGTCCCTTTACAAAAAAGACACTGTATATCATATTTCTACATGTAAATTACATGTAGAAGTATGTGTTAAACAGTTCTTATCCTGTAACGGGCGATCAAAAATGAGTTGCTGTCGAGTCGCCTTTGGAAGTTCAAGTTTAAAAGTACGATTTCCCATGCAAACAAAAATTCCAAAGGCGACTCGACAGCAACTCATTTTTGATCGCATTGTATTTCTGTATTTGTACTATATTAAATGTTGGACACACGGTTTAGTTTTTAAGTTTATGAACACTAAAGGTGGGGTTTACGCTATGAGAAACATGATTTATAGTGCAGGGGTTAAGAGCCAAAATAGGTTTCAACCTTGCATTTTGTGATAACTTTATGAAACTTTCAGAGGATGTTCTAGACACCCTAAGGTTCAATTTCAGCTATGCCGCCACCCCCGCAACCCCGGACGGCACTTGCTATAGCGGGTTTCTTAAGCGCAAGGTAGCATTTCAATACCCGCCCATAAAATGGGTCAAAAATGTATGTCCAGGGTTTGTTTTGTATTTTCTTACATCTAGGAAGGTTGAAGGGAATTGTCAAATACCCAGGGAGAATTTATGTAGGGTATTTTACGTGGTTTACCTATTTTTAAGGCGCTTTTAACAGTGCGGGCAGTAAAATCGTGACGGAGACCTCTTTTGGCTGCTCTATTGAATATTATATAGTTAAGTATGCTCTAAACTCTAAAGTATTTATTGGCCTATTTTTAAGGCGCTTTTAACAGTGCGGACTAGGGAATGCAATCCCGCAGCAAAATCTCAATCCCGGTATTTGCGGGATTGTTAGATGTTAATCCCGCGGGATCACGGTATTTGCGGGATCTCGCAAAACTTTAAATAAATTGGCAAATAAGCAATTCTATGCGGTTAACTTCTGTATTAAAATAAATCGCTAATTATCACAATATTTAACAAAAAAAGTACCTTCGGCCTAATTTAGAACTCAAAAAAACCTTACCTGTAAAGCACAAACAGTCTTCTAAAGTGCCTCAAAAATCATAGTACATTTTTAAAGAAAAAGTTTCACAATTATTTAAAAAATAATTCGCCGTTATCAGTTTCATTAACAAAGCAAACAGAGTCGTCCCCTTGGTCGACAAATTCCTCAGTCCCGCAAATCCCGCGGGATCCCGCTCCATTTATGTGCGGGATTAATCTCGCAAAAATGCTGCGGGATCCCGGTATTTCGGGATCCCGCAATCCCGGTATTGCATTAGTTTCTAGTCTATAACTTTTTATTGAGAAGTCTGATCGAAAAAGTACGAATTGTTTTGGGTTCTACGCATCAAAATTAATAAGAAAAAGTGTTTTCCCGAGAAATTTTGGTGCAGTCGATTTTTGGTAAAAAAGGAAGGTTATACATTGCCTTTTTTTGAGGCCCTCAAAAAAAATTCTCTCAGATCGACCCGGAAAAAAATTTTTCTTATAGATTGTGGCCTGTAGAATCTATAATTTCAAACAGGTCCCAGATTGGGCTGCTAGTTCAAAAGTTACAGCCCTTTGAATTTTCATTCGAAATTGGTTTCTAGTCTATAACTTTTTATTGAGAAGTCTGATCGAAAAAGTACGAATTGTTTTGGATTCTACGCACCAAAATTAGTGAGAAAAAGTGTTTTCCCGAGAAATTTTGGCGCAGTCGATTTTTGGTAAAAAAGGAAGGTTATACACTGCCTTTTTTTGAGGCCCTAAAAAAAATTGTCTCAGATCGACCCGGAAAAAAAATTTTCTTATAGAATGTGGCCTGTAGAATCCATAATTTCAAACAGTTCCAAGATTGGGCTACTAGTTCCAAAGTTACAGCCCTTTGAATTTTTTTTTCGAAATTGGTTTCTAGTCTATAACTTTTGATTGAGAAGTCTGATCGAAAAAGTACGAATTGTTTTGGATTCTACGCACCAAAATTAATAAGAAAAAGTGTTTTCCCGAGAAATTTTGGTGCAGTCGATTTTTGGTAAAAAAGGAAGGTTATACACTGCCTTTTTTTGAGGCCCTCAAAAAAAATTCTCTCAGATCGACCCGGAAAAAAATTTTTCTTATAGATTGTGGCCTGTAGAATCCATAATTTCAAACAGTTCCAAGATTGGGCTACTAGTTCAAAAGTTACAGCCCTTTGAATTTTCTTTCGAAATTGGTTTCTAGTCTATAACTTTTTATTGAGAAGTCTGATCTAAAAAGTACGAATTGTTTTGGATTCTACGCACCAAAATTAATAAGAAAAAGTGTTTTCCCGAGAAATTTTGGTGCAGTCGATATTTGATAAAAAAGGAAGGGTCTACACTGCCTTTTTTGAGGCCCTCAAAAAAATTGTCTCAGATCGACCCGGAAAAAAATTTTTCTTGTAGAATGTGGCCTGAGAATCTATAATTTCACAAACAGGTCCCAGCATTGGGCTGCTAGTTCAAAAAGTTCACAGCCCTTTTTGAATTTTCATTCGAAAATTTGTTTTCCTAGTCTATAACTTTTTATTGAGAAGTCTGATCGAAAAATAACGAAATTGTTTGGATTCTACGCACCAAATTAAATGAGAAAAAGTGTTTTTCCCCGAGCAAAATTTTTGGCGCAGTCGATTTTTGGGTAAAAAAAGGAAGGTTATACCGCCTTTTTTGAGGCCTAAAAAAATTGTCCTCAGATCGACCCGGAAAAAATTTTTCTTAATAGATTGTGGCCTGTAGAATCCAATAATTTCAAACAGTTCCCAAAGATTGGGCCTCACAGTTCAAAGTTTACAGCCCTTTTGAATTTTCTTCGAAATTGGTTTCTAGTCATAACTTGATTGAGAAAGTCTGAATCGAAATAAGTTACGAATTGTTTTGGAATTCTACGCCTACCCAAATTATTGAGAAAAAGTGTGTTCCGAGAAATTTGGCGGCAGTCCGATTTTTGGTAAAAAAGGAAGGTTATACACTGCCTTTTTTTTGAGGCCCTCCAAAAAAAATGGTCTCCGATCGACCCGGAAAAAAATTTTTCTTATAGAATGTGGCCTGTAGAATCCAAAGATGCAGCTGTGCCAAGTCCGACATGCCCTGCACCGAATTGTGCGACTGCGGAGACGAGTGTTCTCAAGATAGGGTTCAATAATTTTAGTGCCGTAGTTATCGTTAACTTTACTTTCAGCATTGTAAAGTCTCAATAAATACTTTAGAGCGTAGTTAAATATATAATATTCAATAGAGCAGCCAAAAGAGGTCTCCGTCACGATTTTACTGCCCGCACTGTTAAAAGCGCCTTAAAAATAAGCAAACCAGGTAAAATACCCTACATAAATTCTCCATGGGTATTTGACAATTCCCTTCAACCCTCCTAGATGTAAGAAAGTACAAAACAAACCCTGGATATACATTTTTGACCCATTTTATGGGCGGGTATTGAAATGCTACCTGGCACTTAAGAAACCCGCTATAGCAAGTGCCGTTCGGGGTTGCGGGAGTGGCGGCATAGCTGAAATTAAACCTTAGGGTGTCTAGAACATCCTCTGAAAGTTTCATAAAGTTATCACAAAATGCAATGTTGAACCTATAACCCCCGCACTATTATGTGAATACCTTGAAATACCTAAAAATTACATGTAAAAATTTTATCGTCCAAAACGGACTTTAGTTCAGTAACAAAATGTGTTTGACACAAACTTTGACACTGAATGTGAGTGTGACATTAGCATCATTGGTTTTAAAAATGGTAAAATTCGAAATATATTCTTTTCTGTCTAATTCCGTGTTTTTATAGCCACCAAAGAAAAAGCAGGGAGTAGGTGAGTAAAATGGTTTCAAAGCACCTTGTTGTATATTATTAGCATCTCCGCAGTAATCGATGGAGTGGACACGACCTCCATGACTAGAGAGCAAATCGAGGTATTTGCTCTTAATATAAAGGAACAAAATGAACGAGAACGAGAACAACGGAATTTCTTCCAATTGGAACGAGATAAAATACGTACATTTTGGGAAATTACAAGAAATGAATTGGAAGAGTCCAGGGCAAAACTGAGGTAATCGCGATTTTGGAACGGGTTTGTGATATTCTGTTCAAATGTGTTTAGAAATAAAGATCGCCAAATTGAGGAGGCGGCGGAAAAGAATTACGAAGAGCTGCGATTTTACAAGCAGAAAGTGAAGCATCATCAGTATGAACATCAGAATGATCTCACGCAATGCAAGACTGATGCTGTTACTTCCTTGAAAAAAGCAACCGACGATCACGCGCAGCAAGAATGGGAGATTTTGAAAGATAAGAGGGATTTGAAAATTTCAAATAGACAGCAGGAGGTGGCAAGCCAAGAGCAGTTGAGAGCGTTTCAAATTGTAATAGCGACCTTTCGTGTCTTGGAAGTTACACTTTTTTTAGGAGCACAGCAGGCTAGTAGATGAAGCGCGAAAGGATTTTGAAAACAAAGCCAGAGAAACTGAATTAAAATACGAGAAGAAATTTAATTTGCTTAAACACGAATTGGATACCAAACACAAGTACGTGTTGTATTTCTATCTTTACCAATCTTGTATAGTTTCTTACCAAAAGAATGGAGATGGCCGAAGTTGACGAGAGAAAAAATAAGCAAATATCCGAATTGAAGGACTACCACGAGAAATCCTTCATAGAAATGAAGAACTACTACAACGATATTACGTTAAACAACTTGGCACTGATAAGCAGCTTGAAGGTAGAGTCGTTAGCGAGCTGCCAATTAACGTCTAGATTTATAGGAACAAATGGAAGGGATGCAAAAACAAAATGAAAGGATGACTAAACAGGTCGCAGACTTAACGAGCGAAAATTCTAAGTTAGCAGGACCTTTAAGGGTAGCCTTATCGGATTTGGCGCAGTATAAAAGAGAAATGCAAAATTACGAAAAGGATAAGATATCTTTAGCGGTAATAACCATCCATAAAGCAAAAACTTGTTATCGTCTCGCTTGTAGAACACGAAAGCGAAATTATTCGAGACCAAAAAGGAGTTGGACAATTTAGTATGGACGAACACTGCTCTTGAGCTACGTTTCGAAAAGGTATCACTCTTTATTTCAGTTACTGATATTTATACACTTTGCAACAGCTGCAAGCGGAGCGTGACACACTGGAAAGCCGATTTGTAAAGGCAATTCTTGAAGTTCAGCAAAAAACTTCTTTAAAGAACGAATTGCTACACAGGAGAGTGCAGACGCTACACCACGAGGCGGAAGTAAAGGAAGCGGCCATAGGTTTGTTAAGCACAGCCGCCAAAGAGACGCCAAAAATACAGTATCAAAGCTTGGAGGTATACCTTTCTTCTGCTAATGTTTATGACGAACATAAAAATATTGTAGAAATTGTTAGTCGACAAGAATTCAAAAATTAAAGATTTGGAGTACGAGCTGGCGATGGTATGCAAAGCACACGATGACATGCTCGAAACGTACGAAGAGAAACTTATCGAGTACGGAATTCCAAAAAAAGAATTAGGCTTCAAACCAATGAGATTTTTGCCTAAAGGTCAGAGTGGATTGGCAAGGGGCCCCGCAGGACTTGTTACAAAGAATAATAGACGTCCGCAATAAATGTGTTCTTATGTGCTGAAGTGATTTCTTCTTAAGTATCAAATTAAGGGTAATATAGGGACCAGTAGTGGGGTGACACAAACATGAAAACGGCTGTTAGTCATAACAGCACCAATTGTAGGTTTTAGTTCTATGGATTCAACCTTTTCGGCAAATTCCTTGCAACTATACTCTACAAAATCTACTACCATACTGTTTTCTGTCTTTAAAATTAGTATTAATACTCATAATCAAACAATAATTTTCAAAGACGTCAAAAACCTAATACTATACCGGGTGTTAATTAATTGAGTGCCGATAATGCAGAGTGTGAATCCTCGGTTGATTTTAAGGAGAATAGTTTTTTATTAACATATGTCCTAAACCTCTTACCTTTGATCCAGAGGGTGTTACAATTTTAAGAAATAAGTGAGTTTTTTGTCATAATTTTTTATCACTATTAGATATTTATGAAATTTTGTACACACCTTTTCATCATTAAGGAGCATTTTTTGACATAAAAGATTTTTTAAATTTTCACCATTGAACTGAAGAAAAAAAATTTTGGCTTTTATTTTTTTACGCAAAAACGGTACGTCGTACGAAAGTAAGTCTAGGGACTAGTGATTCACACCCTGTATTATCGGCGCTCATTTAATTAACACCCTGAAATGAAGACAGTTTTCGCCTTATAGCGAGTAACTTCCGTTCATTTTCCATGAATTGATTGGTACTTCCCGAAAGATCATGTAACGGACTATTTATGTGTAAAATACGTAAGATTCTTATAAAAAGGAAATTTAGCATTTATTTATTTATTTTGGTCTTTATTTTTAAGTGGGCGGAGTTTCAGCTAAGGCTGCTCTACCAACCCAACCCACTAACCCACTATACATTTACAAATGCCCATGCCCGAATCCGGATTCTAACCAGAGACCCTTAGTACCGCAGTCTCGTTTCCACGTCCCTGCGCCACACAAGCCGTCAGCATTGCGTAGTATATGCATGCGTACACATGATGTTTAAAATATGCGATATGTTTGCCTTCACTAAAAGAATGTTTGGTTAAATTTTAAAAAAATATCTCCATAAATAAGAATGACATTGTGCAGGGCACATTTGATTTTTACAATATGCGATATCCTTGCATTTACTAGAAAAATCTTTCGTTAATATTTCAAAAAAATATCTATATAAATAAGAAAGTTCATATTGCGCACTCTGCGCATGCGCACATATACTTTTTGCAATATGCGTGTTTTTACTGGAAGCATCGGTGGTTAAAATTTCAAAAAATTACTCCATAAATGAGAAAGTTGATATTGTGCAATCTGCGCATGCTCACATTAATCGTCAAGATTTTTCTTGGCTCACATGCCAGAGCTACAGAATGCAAAAAGAGCGTACTAAATATCTTGAAAACTGTAGTAGCCAAGGCCTCGGACGGACGGAACGGACGAACTTATCCGCGGCGGTGCGGGCGAAGCACCTTTTTCGCTCACTTTGATTTAAATAGGCATTCACACACTTGAGTGAAGCGCGGCGCGGCGTATCGACGTATGAAATCAATGTGAGCGAAAAAGGCGCTTCGCCGAGCCGCGCTTATGTGTGCGGCGACCTTAAAGTTGCATGCGTATATTCACTAATAACTGACGAAATAGCAACTGCATTAATTTACATGACATTTTCTAGAAATATGAAATATGCCAAAATAATTCTTAGGTATATGTTTTTTTATTGATATTGATTTTATTTAAACATTATGTAAAATATTTTGAACATTTAAAAAGGTTAAAGATTTAGGAGAGGAAGAAACTTACATCTAAAGCGATTGTAGAAGGAAAAGTGTCCATAACGCTAGCAGCACTGCCGCGCTGAATGGCCAGACTCAGTTTCTGAATTAGGAAGGTTTTCGAACGGGCCTAAACTATTCACAAACTGCATTATTTAGAGTGAAGTATGTACAGTGTGCCCCATTTTGGTTGAGTCTACAGTGCATCTCTGCTATTTTTAAAGATAGAGATTTGCCGTTTTCTCGACCCTGTGCCACTTTTTTGTAAAACTTTTAATACCACAGACACAATCAATCTAGCTACGTTTGTTTCGGAAATCAGGGTTAAAAACAAAAAGATGTTCTCACATCTTAATAACCATTGTAAGATAGAAAAAAGGTAAAAACTGTTTATTTTAGATATTTTACATAGAATCCAGTGGCGTAGTAACAAAAATTTTGCTCACCGTTTCTGACATTTGACCCAAAGTTGAAATTACTTCAATGCAACACCCTTTATATCTTAACGTAAATTTTTTTGAATTATTTTTCTTGATTACATTGAAGTATCACAACCTATTTTTTTTTTAATTTTAGCCAAGAATCAAAAATAAAAACCTTCCTTTATACGGTTTTTAAATAGTACGCTATATAGTTATGATGATTTTGTTTTGATTATTGTATCCATGGCAGCCGATATACCAATCAATAAAAATGGCAAAGATGCCATTTCAAAATTTTGAAAAATAGTTATGTATGTTAAAAAATTGTATATAAAATTATGTATATAAATAAATATAGATTGTGATACATCAATGTAATTAGGAAAACCAATTTCCAATTTTTTAAATTGACGTTAAGATATATAGCGTGTTGCATTGAAAAAATACCAACATTGGGCCTAATCTCAGATATTGTGATTCGTTTTTATCCTGAATCTCAGAAACAAACGTGGTTAGATTTGTTCTGTTTGTGGTATAAAAAGTTTCACAAAAAAGTGGCATAGGGTCGCCAAAACCGCAAGTCTGTATCTTCAAAAACAGCGGAGATACACCGCAGTCTCAACCAAAATATTGACACACGGTACAGTAAAATACTTATTTATTATTATTATTGTATTAAAAGGTAATGGCCCTAATACGCATATTTTGTTAAAAACAATTTGTCGTCTGAATGAGTAGAAGACCAATGCAGGTGTTGCTATATAGTCTCTTAAGATTTTAGGTTGATTTTACATGTAGAAAGAAATGAGTAGAAGGTTTAAAAAACACTATTTTTTGGTCAACTTTAACATATACAGTGTGAATAAAAAGTAAGAGACTTTGATACTATCTAACATTGCCAAAAAAATATAGGTTGCCGTTTGACATTTTTTACGATAGGGACACACAATCACTGCGGAGGAAAGAGGTATGGTCAAAACAAGTGAGAAAGTCAAATTTATAACAAAGAAAGAACAAAATTCGGTTATCAATAATCATATGTAGGTATATGTTCCCAGCAATCTGTATAATTCAGGTATTTTATACAATACCCTAGGCTAGGCAATGTGGGTAATTTAGAATCTGTTTAGGAAATATTCATAACGGCTAGGCATTGTGTTAAATTTGGGATGCATTTTCTTTTAAAACTTGACCGAAGGGAAACTACTTCTGCCATCATAAAATTGTTTCCTTCTCTTAATTATACACATTGCCTAGGTATTGTATAGAATACTTGAATTATACAGATTCCAGGTAATTTATACAAATCTTACATTGTATGACACAATACATTGTTGAACAAATCTATCACGCACGTTGAACGATCATAAATTTCTCCTATAAACGAAATCTTATAGTTATGAATGTTATGATTAATAATAATGAATTAAAAGAAAACTGTGTCCGCTCCTTTGTTTCCTGGGTAACCGTTAGATCAATATTAATTTAATAGCAACGTATAGTCTTCACCGCGACTACGTTTTTAAAATATGGCAAGTATTTATAATTTAAAAATGCGTGATATTAATCTTATAGGTTTCTTAAATACAGGGACCAAAGAAGAAAGGAGGGAAAGTTAAAAGCGGCGGGGCAGGTAAATGTGAATGTTCAAAAGTCGCGCATAGCACAAATGCTTTTCAGGAGGAATAATTGACGGGGTTGATATTAGTCAAATGAGCAGGGAGCAGTTAGAAGCGTTCTGCTATCGTATTAGGGAAGAAAATGAGCGAGAACGAGAAGAGCGTAATTTCTTTCAGATAGAAAGGGATAAGCTGCGTAATTTTTGGGAAATTACTAAGAATGAGTTAGAGGAAGTTAGGGCAAAGCTTAGGTAAGGCTTATGTAGTTTGTTTTGTGTGTCATTCTTGAAGAAATTCAGAAATAAAGATCGCGACGTTGAAGAATCGGATGAAAAGAATGAGGAGCAGGTGAAATTCTATAAGCAGCAAGTTAAGCACTTGAAATATGAACATCAGTCCAATTTAACCGAATGTAAGGCGGAAGGATTGGTCGCGTTGAAGATGGCTCAGGATGAGCACATTCTGAAGGAACGGGAATTACTGACCGATAACGAAGAGCTGAAGAGAAAAATACGCGAACAAAACAATGCCTATGAGGACTTAATTAAAGCGTTAAAGCTTGCAAGTGTCTCCACGCGCTAATCATAATAATTAACGCTTTCTTGCAGAAACACAGCGAAGAGGGCAGTCGCATTATGCAGAAATTTGAAAATAGAGCTAAAGAAATTGAGCTCAAGTATTCGAAGAGGTTTTCGGAAGTTATTGCAGAATTGGAAACGCAAAGAAGGTTAAAGTTCTCCGGTAAAGTTTGCATCAACCAATTTGTGAGTTGCAGAATGGAAATATCGGAAGTGGAAGAAAGAAAAAATGCCCAAATCTCTGCCTTAATTAGTGATCACCAATCCGAGTACACCGAGATGAAAAACTACTTCAACGATATAACGCTTAATAATCTAGCTTTAATTAGCAGCTTAAAGGTCGGTGTAATTTCAAGGCGGAAAGTTCATCACAGTTTTTTTTACAGGAGCAGATGTCGATGTTGCGAAAACAGGCCGATGAATCCACGAAAACGGCTGCCGCGATATCTAGCGAAAATCGTAAATTAAGCGAGCCCCTGCACAAAGCAGAAAATGAACTGGTAGACCTTAGAAAACAATTAAAAAATTATAAGAAGGATAAATTGGCCTTTGATGTGAGTATTCGAACCTTTTGGGGTGTCTGTTTGACGACTTAATGGACTGAAATTTATCATAAAATACTACACAGTTTCGGGGTTAAATTCCATATTAAATCACTTCAAGTGTCACGGTTTTTTTTCGATAAGTAGTAAACCGTAAACACCAATAATGCTTCGTAACGGAGAGAATAAATCGTTACAAGATAATTTGGGAAGATTTTTCACCAGAAACGTGCCGAACGTTTACTTAGAAATAATTAAACGTTACGTAGCAAAATAGATTTTTCAGGAAATTTAAAAATTATTACGAGAATTATTTCCAGTAAAGTAAGAACATTTTCAAGACAATAACTAGCATATGCTTGTCTAGGTTGTAGATCGCAACAGTTACTTGATAATTCTGCATCCTCAATTTGAATTATGTCTCTCTCCTACCATACAGTACAAGGTTTGTCATAGTCACACCACTTCCCACGATCATTCAATTCGAAATTGAAGAAATTTCATATTTTTCTGTTCCTTGCAACAATTTTATTAAGATACTCACAATCAAAATGCTTTAAATAATAAATAAATAATAGCGTATATATTGCTCAACAGTAAAACACGGTTTACAGACCAAATAAATTAAAAAATAACGAATAGATAACTTAATAATGATTTATTAGTATTTTACCTCAACTTTATTTGGAAGACACCATACAGAATAAGAAAATTCCAATTACGTGTCACTGGAGCCCTGAACATACATTAGGGCTTATGATCTAATTTGATTAACTATTAAGAGGATTGTGAAAAAAGGCGATATCATTCACCCCATGTTGCTGAAATGTTCAATCCTGTAACGATTATAAAAATGTATGGACTATTTTCGCCAACAGGAAAGTTTCTTATGTATCCATCTTCTAATTCACATTCGATGGCTTTACTATCCATTAAGAGTTCGGCTTTCCATTTTTCCTGCAACACTTCGGCTTCAACGTCGTCTTTTCTCTGTAATCATTGAATAAATTATTCAATGCTGTAACGCAAGAACTTTATTTACACATTTTGTTGTTTGGGCTCTCCAGTATGAATTACAACTTCGTTCGCACCCTTGAATGCAAATATTGCCATTTGCACCAAAGCAGTCACGTTTGGGTCATCGAAAGTCTTAGGGACTGGCGAAAACTCTCCACTTTTTCTTCCTTCTGTCATTGAATAAAACTTAATTTTTTATTCAATGCTTCTATTTAAATTTCATATTTGTATCTTATTTACCACGAAATCAGTCACAATCTCGTCTATAACAAAATTGAGTGTTTTTTTTTCTATTTTAGTTTATGTTTTTTTTCAAATCTACCCCGATCGCAACTACTAAATAAATTAGATGGGAATTACCTAAGGTTCTCAAATTTTAAAAATAGGTATTTTATTTGAACAACCATACGACACCGTATGCTGTGTTGCCTGGCAACTGCAACGCAATTCGTAATTTAAGTACCATTTTTAGAACACAAAAGCAAAACTACATGATCTAAAGAAGGAATATGACGCACTGAAATGGTCAAACGAAGTCCTAAATTTACGATTTGAAAAGGTAGAAGTTTAATTGCAGCGTGCCAAATGTATTCGTATAAAGTTACAGGAAGAACGCAAAAAACTTTACGGCAAATTCGTTCAGGCAGTTCTTGAAATACAACAAAAAAGCAGTTTAAAAAATGCCCACCTTCAAAAACGCGTACAAGTTCTCTCTGACGTGGCCGAATACAAGGAGTCTGTCATTATTGAATTAACGTCATCTTCAGAAATTCCATCGCAACATAAAAAGTTTGAGGTTGCCGCTACTAAATTTACCTACTAGGTATCTATTTATTGTTTAAATTGTAGGACCTTCTGGCCAACAAAAACTTAATCGTCAAAAATTTAAAAGAGGAGCTTTCGAAAACGTGCCAGGCTTACAATGAGCTTCTTGAAATGTACCAGCAGCAATTTGGAGAGTCTGGTTTGATACCCAGAAGTGTGGCATGTAGTGACGATGGGGAACCATATTCACCATAAGATGAAACTGCAGTAAATGGGAGAATGAGACAGTTGCCAATAACGTGTAAAACAATAACAACTAAAATAAATCCTTGAGACATAATTTTGTATTATTAAGTTGTATGCGCAAAAAATGCATTGTAAATTGTAAACACATTACTTAGCAACTTACAAAAATGTTCCGGCTTAGTCACACAATAATTGGAATAGCTCTGAAGGTAATTACAACGTGTTATTGTTTTGCCCATATTTTAGATACCTCCCGAAGTAACACGCAATACTAGTTAAAGGAACGGAACGTAAATAAATCTTCCACAAGTAATGAAATCTATAATATTAAAAAAAAAGTAGGCTCCATTGTATAATAGTAAGAAAACAATTGATGACTAAAGCTGCTGACTATTTTGGTTCCATGGAAATAAAATTTTAGTTCTTTACATGAGGTAATGTTTGCCTTAAGTCAAGGGTTTCTGATCCCCCATACATATGTCTGCGGACGGAATTTGTTCTTCGCCTGTTTTTGTGGCACTACTCGACTATAAATATTTTAGATCCATATTACTGTTAGTGAGCTCTATTATCAAAGTATAGGGTCGGGAAAGAATACCCCTACCGCTGAGGGCACTGCGTGTCGTAAAAGGCGACTAAACAACTGCAGGTCGGTCACAACATCGAACGGTATTCTAGGAAGTGTAAGATTTGTTGTTGGAGGCGATATGCACGAACGACGAAAGATTTTTTGGATTTTGATACATGGATTTTCTAAAAGCAAGGTTTTCATTGTCCATTCCTATTCATATGTTTCATACACCTACTCCCGCAGTTGTGCATAAAGGGATTTTTAATACCAGCAATGCTAAAGGTAAAAACCGAAGTTATCTGTCTTTAACAAAGCTAACTCATAAATAGTTTACCCGCTATCATTCTTACCTTGGATGAAAAAATTCTTACATTAGATTGTTGTAGGTTTACCTTCGAAGTTCTTTTCTTTAGACTTCTTACCTGTTGATCCAAAAGATCTTTGACAGGAGGACGAACTTAAATTAACTTTTAAAAAATGCACTAGAAATGATATAAAGCACACAAGCTCTCAAGATTGGCTGCTTTACATAGGATTATGCGAATGAATTTCCAAAATGTCTACCACTAGACTACAGACTCTTATAAAAAGATGTAGAAACATTTTGATTTCGATAAAGTTTCATATATGACTGTATTTCAAGATAAAAGTAAAATTGAAAATGGAATTTATTGTGGATATATTTCAACAACATCAGTCAACATTTCATAATATTTGGTGGGTACACTCTTTTTGTATTTATGAAATAGGAAATGTAAGCTTATCAGAACTTACGCTCGCCTCGACACAGATTACATTATTAACGAGCTCCATCACGATGAAATTTTTCAGAATTCTTGATCAAATTTGTAGATCGGGATTCCTGAATTGGCAATGTAGACCAAAAAATAACGAAGGCCCTTTTGACATCTCCATTAATTATGAACCGAATTACATGAAATTCAAACCGGGCCATACCTATAGCCATATAATACGCAATGCCAAGCTATAGACATCCCAGAAGCTCGTTTGCCATACGTTTACGTTTACACATTTATCATATTATTAAAATCAATATTACTGTTTTCTGCTTTCGAAAAATTTGAGTAAATTTTTTCTTGGTCGTTTAAAAATTGCAGTTGAAATTTATTTTTAATTTTTAGAATCTCGATTTTACCTACACACAGGGAACGCCGGTTTCCCAGCCGACGGCGTATTCGGTTATCTACATCTAAGAATTAAAACTTTAATTTATTTCTCGGCTTCTGGTCATCATAAAAATCGTGGACAACTTACAAACATCTAGAAAAATTAGAGCGCATTTACTGACACCATACACGACGTTTACTGCAACACATTTGTTTAGCTACTGTACGGGAAGAAATATTTATTATTTGGTATAAGAAATCTAATGATTTATATCACATTTTTTGATACGTATGTGTCCCATTTTACAGGTTATTTATTAAACGTTTATTGAAATTAATAAATAACTTCTCATGCTTTTTATAAAGTATTTAATATAGATTAGGACATTAATATAACAGATGCTGTAACATCAGCGTATACATATTATGATACCCACTTTATCTACGTTATCATATTAGTTTACAACGTTTAATAATATATTATATACCAAGATAGTATTACCCATTTCCAATGTGGTTGTTTATTGCTAAAAAATGTATTTCACTCGGATCTTGTACCTACTACGAGAATAGTATTGCTAAGTAATTTTCTGTCAGGATCTTCAACATAATCGCTACCAGTTATGTAGTTAGCCAAAACAACTAAACGGAGCAAATTTGCCAAAAATGCAGTTTTTCCATTTTTTGGATTTTTAAAATGTATGAGTAAACTGTATAGTCAGCAGACCTCGTTCTGTGCTTAAATTAAAGCTGATTACATTTTCCAAACATCTTTTCCCATGACTTTTCCAGTGAAATGAGTATTTTCCTCGGTGTTGGGGTCGAAAGTTAACCAAACTTTAAAATTTCACTTTTGGATAAAATTTTCCATGTTTGGTAAGTATTGAATCTACGGGGCTGGTTCTGGTCTCAAATTGTAGCAATTTAAGTCTACTTTAAACAGGTATAGAAAATGTTTTTTTTATAAAACACACAGTTTAGGATGATTTTAATGTTCGATATGATAATAATAATAAATAATAATAATAATAACTTTATTCCCTATAAAAACAAATATAATGCGTCACCAGGATCGTCACAATAATATCAAAGGCCTAATGATAACAATTATGGTATATTTGTAACGATAAAAAGATTTGTCTGACAGGTCTACTGACGCATTTATTTCAAGATCTCCTAAGAAAATTATGCATAATGGTCACAATTTTAGAAAATTTAAAGTAAAACGGAAAGCATAACAGATAGGTATTTATAGGGAATATAATAATTGCTCGGAGTAGATTTTTTCGACACTTGAAAGTGCAAAAAAATAAAGCATGTTTCATTTGAAAAAATTTTTACGGTTATTAAAAATGATCTTTAGTTTTATAACACCCTGTAGAAGGGCGATTAAAATTTAATATAGCATCAAGTCAGTATTGTTGATTGTTGAAGACTTTTAAAAATTCAAGTCAACGGGTTCATAGGTACATACATAAGATCACACAAATACGATTAATTTGTGATTGTATGATCTCCTTACCCGCAAGAAAACAATGCTACTAATCCATCGAAGAAATTTCCGATAATTCAATGAAAAACTATGTTGGTTTGGTATGCAAATTTTCAGATTTAAATTGTTAAAGGGAATCTGAATACTTTTAGGTAACGGTTTGCGTCATGCGTGAAACAGTCTGTATACTTTGTACATTATAGTTTTAGCTGTGTAAATAATAATATGCGATCAAAAATGATTTGCTGTGGAGTCACCTTTGGAATTTTTGTTTTCATAGGAAATGAATTTCCAAAGGCGATTCGACCGCCACTCATTTTTGATCGCCTGTTATTTGTAATAAACGGCGATCAAAAATGAGTTGCTGTCTAGTCACCTTGGAAAGTTCAAGTTAAGTTCGATTTCCCATGTAAACAAAAATTCCAAAGGTCACTCATTTTTGATCGCATAGTATACGAGTAGTTTTTCAACCTCGGTTTTACCGTCCATTAGTTCCACCGGCTCCGTCACCTGCCCGGTAAAAGCGTCATGAATCGATGAAATAGTTAATTCCCTTGCAATGCACATCCGCGTTCACACACTTACCTATATTTAGCTAATGCATAAGTACTTATTAATTTCTGTATAGGGAAACCCCGTTACAAGGTGGTTCCATTTAAAGAAATCTTTTGGGGTTCTTTCCAGCCAAACAAGATGTGACAAAAAATTATCATTATTACCAATGAATTCTTTGCTGTTTACTGTAGAGATGTACTCTAATTTGAGAAAATCGGTTCTTAGACAACCGACATATTCTACCGTTCCAGAACTTCCTGGACACCACTATAAAAATAAGTTATATCATACCACAGCTGATTGTCACATAAACAAATTAGTTGAGCTATTGTATGCATTAATCTTCAGAAGTATTAAAAAATAACCCATTTCACATTCTCAAATTGTTCCTTTATTTCACATACAATATTTTCAATAAAATGTTAACCAAAGCTTTAGAGTTTGACCGGGGGTTCATCAGAGGTTCTTCACACATTTCTCGTGTACCTCCAGAGAGGGGTTTCCTGGAAGATTTTTGTGAATTCTTACAGGCTTTCTACGGGCATCTACAAGTGTATTTAGACATCTCTAAAAAACCAATACTGTTTCGTATTAATCGGATAATAATAAAAATAATAACTGAAGTTCCACAATACCACTGATTAGCATATTGTTAAACTGCTCTAACGTATATTTTAATACGTGCTTACCTATTTCTGAGGCGCTTATCCCGATATTTCAACGATAGGTCATTTTAGTAGAAGAAAATAGTGTGCAAATAACAAATTTTCTCAGCTTTCCACATATCTTTTTTTAATATGTTCTCACAACAGCCACATAGTGGGGTGATTTGATTTACTTGATTGAAAGGTGCATAAATACCAAATTGCACAATATCTTGAGCAGGTATTAATAATTACCTACAGCGGGATTCATTACATGACTCACTAATACCGACTATTCATATTTTTTTACTTCAACTAATCAATGGGAACATAACTAGCCAGTCAGGTATTTGCAAAATATCTCTTTGTTAGTATGTGGTAGTTACCTCAATAAATTAATTACTTCTAAACGCGGTTTAGTTACCAAATTACTCCATTTAGAAGCGCAAATAGAAGAATAATTATACGATTTTAACAGCCATTAGTTTTTTATTTATATTATTCATCAATCATTTTTGCAAATGAACCACACAATCGTTAGTGGACTTAAAAGTTTTATTAAAAACCTTCAAATTCCGATAAGTATTCGATAACCTTGTACTCAATATATGGTAAAAACGCTTTTAGCCCGATCAAAGAGAGTGTACGGTGTGATCCATATAGTACTCGTTATAATAAGGCCCAGAAATTAATAA